ATAACAAAGAAAGGAAACCATTGACAAATGAACCCAAAATAATCATGTCATTTGAAATAACAACTAATTTCTATCTTTTATATTTTATATTTTATATTTTAAGTTTATTTGAACTAGTCCAGGAATAAAGGTGAATTAAGAGCAAGATTATAGCAAAATATACACGGCATATTTACTAAAGTAACAGTAAAAAAATCTAAAAACTATGTTGGAGTCATTAAATTAATCTTGGATCATAATTATTAAAATTAGAGTGTGTAATTTATAAAAAGAGAAGTCGTTATTCTGATAATTTGTTGCCAAAAATGCCTAACATAACTAAATATTTCATCCCATACGAATGATCACGATTTAACCATGCTACTTAATGTGTCTAAGTAGTAAGAATAATATTTCATGTCATTCTCGATGAACATATGATGTTTTTTACAAAATTAATTGGTTGCTGAAAACTAGAAATTTTAACTTTTATTTATATATAATATTTATATATAAGTATTCGGAAAAAATTGTTAAAAAATTTTAAAACATATAAAATTATATATTTGAGAGAAACACAAAGTCCTTATTCTTATAGTTTGTTGCCAAAAATGCCTAGCATAACTAAATATTTCACACCATACGAATGATTACGATTTAACCATGTTATGAAATGTGTCTAATTAGTAAAAATAATGTTTCATGTCATTCTCGTTGAACATATGACGTGTTCGGCAAAATTAGTTGGCCGTTGAAAACTAAAAATTTTAACTTTGATTTGTATATAAATATTCGGCAAAAGTTGTTGGAAAATTTTATAACATGTAAAATTATATATAAAGACATATCAAAAAAGTGGTCATTGATGATAATAATGATAATAATAATAATAATAATAATAATAATAATAATAATAATAGAAATTAAATATCCTCCTATTTTTTTGTTACTATAAATCCTCTTACCCAATTAAATAGTAACATGTGTAATATTTAATGTTCCTTTAATGATATTTTAATATAATAATACGATACATGTCATCATTTAATTTGGTAGAATGATTTGTATGAACAAAAATAGGAGGATATTTAATTGGGTAAATGGCAAAAAAAAAAAAAACACTCTTTTTACACAGAAATTCAATTTTGACACCGTGTTTTTTTTTTTTGTGTCAATTTTGATACTGTGTTTTCCAATTTGTTGCAATTCTGATCACTTGACCCGTTAACCAGGTTACATGCTGACGTGACATGATGACGTATCAGTTTTGATGACGTGACATGCTGACATGTCAAAATTGATTTTTTTTCCATAAAAAACACTAAGTTTTCATTTTTTTTTTCGATTTTGACACTAAGTTTAATTTTTTTTTTTTTTTCAATTTTGACATTATGTTTTTTTTTTGTTCCAATCGAACATCATTTATCAAATTTTGTTCAATTTTGTCTATTTTCTATTTGAAACTGTATAAATATATTTTTTTTATTACATTTTAAACCGTATAAACATATTTTTTTTGTTTAAAAACCACATTTTTATTTAAATACAATGTGTTTTTTTTTTCATACATTCAAATCATTAGTTATATCATGAGAATCACACTAACCATAAGCTTCTAATAAGATGTAAAAATTTGATATCTGAGTTTTGATCGACTACACGCCTCCAAACCTCCAAATACATTTTAAAGTTGCATATTTAATATAAAATACAATTTTTATATAACTAATACATATTTATATATAAAAATATGGTTTGAGTGTAAAAAAAATGTATTTATACAAAACTATGGTTTTTAAATGAAAGAAAAACATATTTTTACGGTTTAAATATATTAAAAAAAATATTTATACGGTTTCAAATAGAAAATTGTCAATATTGAACAAAATTGGAAAAAATTATGTTCGATTTGGAACAAAAAAAACATAGTGTTAAATTTGAAAGAAAAAATTAAACTTAGTGTCAAAATCGAAAAAAAAAATGAAAACTTAGTGCTTTTTGTGAGAAAAAAATCAGTTTTGACACGTCAGCATATAATGTTAGCATGCCACATCATCAAAACTGACACGTCATCATGTCACATCAGCATATAACTTGGTTGACCGGTCAAGTAGTCAGAATTGTAACAAATTGGAAAACACAGTGTTAAAATTGACACAAAAAAAAAACACAGTGTCAAAATCGAATTTCTGTGTAAAAAGAGTGTTTTTTGTACCATTTACCCTATTGAATTTCTCTAATACTAATAATAATCAAGTCAATTTGCAAAATTATAAAAAAATGAATTGTTAAATGCTACTTGAAAGAGTTTTTGAATTTGGAGTTTTTGTTTTAGTTAAAAGCTAGAAGCTTCTAATACCGAATAAAACGTTTTTTCTGTGAATGATTAAAAACTCTATTAAATGTGCGGGCAAGGTTTACAAGCACAAATCTTGAATTAATATTTAATATCAATATGATTGCTAGTTATTAAGATCCAGTCAAGTCTGGTTAAACCAATCAAGACTTGAAGTAAATAACTTCAACAAAGTATTCAAGAAGATTAAATCAAGTAAAGTATGAATAAAGTAAAGAAATCAAGAATAAGAAGAATTTATGAGAGGTGATTGACAAAAATTTGAAAGTGAAGTGAAGGATTGTATTGATGTAAAAAATAGATATGTTAGATTGTTTTTTGGTTTTAGGTTGACATTCCTTTTATAGCCAAAAGAGTCAATACATGACAGATACATAGAATAGAGAGAACTTGCATCAGTAAACAAAATCTTGATAAAGTTGTAACATCCCAAAAATTGTAAGCAAAAATATCATTTTTAATTCAACCATAAACACCATTTAGTATTACTAATCATTCAAAAATATATTTAGTATTACAGTTATCAGAGTATAATCCCAAAATCATAAAGTTGCGGAAACATGGGTGGATGCAATGCAGTCACGTCGGGCCCTTTCATTTTGTCCCGGAAATACCTGAAACCATAAACAATAAACTATAAGCACAAAACATAGTGAGTTCCCCCCAAATACTTCATACCATACAAACATACAATCGAGTATATATGGGTGCTTGCAATCCCCATCACTCTACTTCAACCGGATACAATCAAGCATATATAGGTGCTTGTAATCCCTTTTAATCTATTTCAACTGGATACAATCAAGCATATATGGGTGCTTTCAATCCCATTCGGTCTATTTTAACTGAATACAATCAAGCATATATGGGTGCCTTCAATCCCCTTCGGTCTATTTCAACTAGTATTTGGTCTATTTCCCTCCTACCACTACCGCATAATATTATAACAAAAGAATCACAGAGTCATCAAGCAATTACAGGCTTTACTGACCAATGTCACAAAGACAATCATCATACTACATCATAAACTAGTAGGTCAACATTGGTGCCTTCGACCCATGGATATAGTGAAGGAAAACTCACCTCAAGTTGTTGAATATCTCAGATAAAAGCTCGGACTGCTGATCCGAAAAACCCTGTGCTAACATCATCAATTAATACCTAATTAATAATTAACCCACAACCAATCGTTGGAATCGTAACCGATAGTCCAACACTCAGGGTAAAAGTCCATTTTACCATTTTCTTACTCGACTTAAAAGTCTGACACCCAAACCAATAGCATTAAAAAGCCTAATATGACCCAACTTCCTAATTGGACCAAAAACCCATCATGAGACTAGTCCAAGAAGGCGTAACTTCTTAAAAGACACCCAAAGCTCCAAACGGGCCTAAAAACAAAAAGGCCCATCGATAGAAAACTAGGGCCCAACAAGGCCTAAAAGCCCAAAATCACATCTCATGTCCTGACCAGTCCTTGGTCACGTTGTGAGAGCTCACTCAATCAGACCCCAACTCATCTAGACTCAACCTAGCCCACTCAGTCAAGGAATAACACTTGAGTTGACCTCATGATGTGATCAACCTAGCCTCACATCGTGAGCCTCAACAAGCTCATCAAAAATGCGACCAAAAGCTCCTCACGTCGTGAGACCTTGTGTCTCACATCGCGAGAACAATCTGAGGCTAAAAATCTAACTTTTAAGTCTTTAATCCATTAAGCCTTGAACTCTAACTTTCTAGAAGGTCTTATAAACTCTTAATACACTAGAAAGTCGATGCTTTTGAGACATTTATGTCCAATATATGTCTAGATCTCATTTAGGTCTAAAGTTGAAGAAAAGACATCCAACTTTCATGCAATGCTCCAAAAACTCAACCAATTTCTAGATATGAACACCAAGACATACCTAAGTCCCTCATAACTCATAAAGTTGCCAACTTTATGGTTTCTATTCACTCAACATGCTCAATCAAGAAGAAAAGTAGGACAAGACTTAGATTTACCCTTATATAACCATAAAGGTAGGAGCTTTATCACTTACAATGGTCCAGAAACAATCTAAGGTGATGTTGATGATGCTTCCTTGCAAGCCATAACACAAGACCACATTCCTCTTCTTCTTTCCTCCGTATTCCAAACCAAGAAAAGCTCCAATACCAATAAAGATCAAGCAAGGATAGGCACTAGGGTTTTTCTAAGGTGAAATAGGGTTTGGGGCTGATAAGATACCCTAAAATGAGGTTAGAGATGCTTAAATATGAAGGAAACTATAAAAGATAATGGGCTTAGGTTACATCGCTCCTCAAGTCATGAGCTCTTATTGCTCACGTCGTGAGCTCTATCTCAGACCTAATCTTCATGCAACCCACCTCATGTCGTGAGCCTCTATGTCTCACGTCGTGAGGATTCTTTTTCACCAAAATTCAACCTTTTGACTCATTAAAACCCTAATTTGATTCTTCTTGGAAAAACGGGTGTTACAAAAGTGGATTTCCTCTGAATCAACATTATACTAAAAAGTTGACTAAGTTCCGAATCCAAGGCATCTCGTCTTGGTCTTTGAATCATCACTTCACATTTGAAATAATATTCTATCTCAGAACCAAGAATGATCTTGGAATAGCTATGTCATCTTGGAATCATAACCACCTCAAAATGGATTCACATCTCAGATTGGTAGGAGATTCCTTTGCTTTTTCCTTTGGCATGAGGATTTGCAGGGATGGTAAATAAGATCACTTGTTGCCCGATTGGACTGATGAATAGTTCCAAGGGAGGAGAGATCAAATGTTCCTCAAGTAGGTTGTCTAGTTTTGTTGTTGTAGGACCATCTTCAACGGATGAAATTTTCAGAGAATGAATAGGAGGAGGAATTGGATGAGAAGCTTGGAATGCATCTTTAGCTATCTTCAATTGAAGTTCAGCCTTTTCTCTACTTCATTTGAACGAATCAACAAGCTTAGATGGCCAACACACAGAGGACCAGTTTTTCGTTTTATCTTCTGAGAGGAGTTGTTCGTTGATTGCTTGAAGTTGTAACACTCCAATTCAGGTATTATCTTGAGACCCTTGAAGAAAACTAATTTTATCATAATAGTACCTTAAGTAAGTTGGGCGTACTTATGAGTACGTTTAGCGTACTATGCAAGGATGATCGCGGAGGGGTAGCACGTACGCTAGGCGTATGTGCCGGATAACCAATCCCAAATTTTCAGACATGAGGATATTTTAACATCCTTAAGTCCCTTGGACTTAGCCCTAGAGAGCCTCCATAGCCTTAGAACATCCTTCTACTCCAGAGAAAGCTTGTGAAACCATTTTGAGCTTAAAGAGGGTGTTGGTGGCCATTTTTAGTGACATTCAAGAAGGAGAAGTTGTTAAGGAAGCTTGGAGGGTCATTGGGCTTCAAGAATCTACATGTAGTCGACCTTAAGGAGCTTCTGGAGGTATAAATCTTGCACCTTTCCAATTTAATAACTAGATCTAGCTAGGGTTTTCTAGTTTTGTCCCTTTTGTTGATTTTGGATCTCCTCTTGTGAGTTGAGCAACTCCAGAGGATGGAAATGATAGACCTGAGGTCCTTTGGTCCGTTTGCAACATAAAAATGGAGTCTTGGTGGGTGTTTTGACCTCATGCATGGGTGAAGAACCTTAAAAAGGTCTTAATGGGGGTGTTGGGAGCATATGAGTCATGAGAAGGCATAAAGTTTCCAACATTATGCCCTAGGTCATCTTAATAGGCTTAGACTGACCTTTGGACGTAAAGGAATCGAGTATTAAGCACTTAATGGAGAAAGTGCTTAATCTGTTAGTACGTTGGGCGTAACCTATCGTACGATGCGCGTAAGTCTCGGAGACCCAGAGAGCCTTAAGTCCCTTGGACTTAGCCCTAGAGAGCCTCCATAGCCTTAGAACATCCTTCTACTCCAGAGAAAGCTTGTGAAACCATTTTGAGCTTAGAGAGGGTGTTGGTGGCCATTTTTAGTGACATTCAAGAAGGAGAAGTTGTTAAGGAAGCTTGGAGGGTCATTGGGCTTCAAGAATCTACATGTAGTCGACCTTAAGGAGCTTCTGGAGGTATAAAGCTTGCACCTTTCCAATTTAATAACTAGATCTAGCTAGGGTTTTCTAGTTTTGTCCCTTTTGTTGATTTTGGATCTCCTCTTGTTAGTTGAGCAACTCCAGAGGATGGAAATGATAGACCTGAGGTCCTTTGGTCCGTTTGCAACATAAAAATGGAGTCTTGGTGGGTGTTTTGACCTCATGCATGGGTGAAGAACCTTAAAAAGGTCTTAATGGGGGTGTTGGGAGCATATGAGTCATGCGAAGGCATAAAGTTTCCAACATTATGCCCTAGGTCGTCTTAATAGGCTTAGACTGACCTTTGGACGTAAAGGAATCGAGTATTAAGCACTTAATGGAGAAAGTGCTTAATCTGTTAGTACGTTGGGCGTAACCTATCGTACGATGCGCGTAAGTCCCGGAGACCCAGTACGTTGTGCGTGCTAGAGTGGTACGCTAAGCATACGCACCACAGATAAGGTTGGATCTTTTTTGGGCCTTTGAACTGTTGGGCCTCAATTGGTTATTGGATATGGTTATATTTTAGGGGTAGTGGTCCATTTTATCTGTTGTGGGCTGTGGATGTTATGATTGGGCTCTATTGGGCCATGAGGCCCATTAATGATTTATGGACATGGACTTTGGGCCCATTAGCAAGGAAAAGAATAGTTGGACCTTATGGTTGGACTTAAAGTTAGGGTTTCCCATTAAATATGTGAAATTCTAACATTGGGTAATGTTATTATTTAGTGCAGGTGGTTACAAACTATCAGGAGAGCAACTTTCAGATTCGTCAGACAAAAGGTGAGTCTTCTCACCATACCACTGGGTCTAAGGCACCAAGGTCGGCCCATTTTATGATATGTGGTACACTAGCTGTTGTAGAGATATGTGGTATGATAGTTAACTTTTTGCTATGTTGTATGTTAGTGATTTTGTGATATTTGCATGAAAGACCATAGGGGGACCATGACACTTGGATGTAAGACCATGTAAGGGAGCCCACGGCTGTCCGGCAGGGAAAGACCATGGGGAGCCCATGACACTTAGGTGTAAGACCATGTGGGGGAGCCCATGGCATCCTTATGTAAGGATATGTGGTATAGATAGCTTTTATAGTTGTAATGAACCAAATTTTATAAAGAAAATTTTCATTTTAATTAATCATACACATTGGCATAAATCATGAAATCCCAACACAATTGTTTTCAAATCCACATTCATTACAATTTAATTTTTTTAAAACATCAGAGTGTGCCCAAACTATCATAGTGAAAAAGAGATAGAGTACACACGCAACATCACACCTTGCCATTGCCCTCAGGCTCAAATATACCTGATACAAATCAACAACCTGTTAGTGAAATGCTTAGTGAGTTCCCCAGAGCATACCACACACATACCACATACAACTATCATGTTAGCTCTTAAATCTACACACATATCACATAATTCATGCATAGATAAAACCTGTAAGAATGCCATGGGCTACACCACATAGTCTTTACCTAGGACTGCCATGGGCTACCCCATATGGTCTTACACCCAATGTCATGGGCTACCCCACATGGTCTTTTCCTAGGAATTCCATGGGCTACCCCACATGGTCTTACATCTAATGTCATGGGCTACCCTACATGGTCTTTACCTAGGACTGTCATGGGATACCCCATATTGTCTTACATCCAATGCCACGGGCTCCCCTGGGGTCTTCCATGCAAAACACACAATCACATATCATATCAAATCACAGAATGACTAACCCATATGTTGTAATCATATAATGGGCCGGCCTTGGTGCCTTAGAACCATGGGTATGGTGAGAAGACTCACCTTTGTCTGCAGAATACAAAAGCTGCTCTCTTAATAATCTATAACCTCCCGTGCTGAATAATAATATTAATTAATGTCAGTACCTTTACTTAATTAAAAGAAAACCAAACTCCAAACCCTTCAATGAGGTCCGACTACCCTTTCCTTGTTAATGGGCCTAAAGTCCAAGTCCAAGATCATTAATGGGCCTCTTGGCCCAATAAGGCCCATTCAAAATGTCCATGGCCCATAACAAATGATATGACTCATAATTCCCAGAATACAACCATGCCTAATAACTAAATGAGATCCAAAGGCTCAAAGGCCCAAAACAGATTCGGGCCCAACTGAGATGTGTTCGCTTGGCATACCGTCCTGGTACGCACAACGTACTGGGGTATTGGGACTACGCGTAGCGTACACTAGGTTACGCCCAACGTACTACCAGATTAAGCACTTTCTCCATTAAGTGCTTAATACTCGGTTCCTTTATGTCCAAAAGCCAGATCTAAGTTTGTTAAGACGTCCTATGGCATAAAGTTGGCAACTTTATGCCTTTGCATGCCTCATATAGACCCAACACCTCCATTAAGACCTTTCTAAGGTCTTTAACACATGCATGAGGCCAAAACTCCCACCAAGACTCCATTTTTATGATACTAAAGCACCAAGGGACCTCAGATCTACCATTCCTATCTTTTGGAGTTGCTTAACTCACAAATGGAGGTCCAAAATCAACCAAAGGGACAAACTTAGAAAACCCTAGCTAGATCTAGAGATTTAAGTGGAAAGGTGCAAGCTTTTTACCTCCAGAAGCTTTGTAAGATGACCAAGATATAGATTCTTGAAGCACCAACTTGCCCCAAGCTTGCTTGACCACTTCTTCTTCTTGGGATGAACACTAAAAAGGACCACAATGCACTCTTAAGGCTCAAAAAGCACTCACAAAGGCTATTAGGGATTCCAGGAATGTTTGAAGGTGAAGAGAGCTAATGAGGATGAGGATCAAGTGGGTTAAGGATGTTTAAATAGGTCACAGGTCCGAAATTTAGGGTTTGCACCCTCCGCACATACGCCCAATGTACCTCCGGTATGCCCAGCATACATGCAGCTCCACCGCGACCAACGATGTAGAGTACGCTAAGCGTACTCAAGGGAATATTTATATAAAAATGTAACTTCTTTGAGGGTTTCAAGTCAAACCCAGATTAGGGTGTTACAACTCTCCCCCACTTGAACTAGACTTCATCCTCGAAGTCTGTAGCTGTAAAGAGATCAGGGTAATGCTCCCGCATCTCCTCCTCCGGCTCCCAAGTCCATTCGGAGCCCTTGCGGTGCTGTCATTGCACCTTTACCAACTTCACTTCCTTGTTCCGATGACCCTTTTTTTTTACTATCCAATATGGCGGCCGTCCTGTCGACATAATTCAGGCTCCCATCCATTTGAATGTCATCCAAGGAAATAATCGTGAACTCGTCAGCAACACACTTCCGATGCTGAGACACGTGGAAGGTGTTGTGAATCTGACTAAGCTCCTATGACAGCTCTAAAATATATGCCACGTTGCCCACTCGGGCTGTGATCCTGAACGGGCCTATGAACTGAGGCCCCAACTTGACCCTCTTCCGAAACCTAGTAATCCCTTTCCAGGGTGACACCTTTAGCAATACAAAATCCCCCACCTGAAACTCAATATCTGATCATCTTCGATCAACATAAGTTTTTTGGCGACTCTGTGTAACTCACATCCGGTCACGCACCTGCTGAATCTGTTTGGTAATCTTGAGCACAACCTCAGTGCCCCCATGACCCGATGCCTGACCATGTCCCAACACAGCAGAGTTCTGCACCTCTGAACATATGACATATCAAATGGAGCTCGGTCAATACTGGCATGATAACTATTATTTTATGAGAACACTGTTAGTGGGAGGTATGTATCCCAACTCCCTCCAAATCCAGCATGCATGCACGAAGCATGTCCTCCAATGTCTGGATCATCCTCTCATACCGTGTTGAAATGTACCTGAGTGCCCAGTTCCTCGTGGAACTTCTTCCAAAACCTAGAAGTAAACTGGACATCCCTGTCGGAAACTACAGATATGGGCACCCCGTGTCTAGCTACCACCTCCCGTACATAAATGTCTGCCAAGTTCTCTGTGGATATACTCTCGGAAATCAGAATAAAGTAGGCACTCTGCGTCAATCTGTCTATGATTACCCATATAGTGTCCACACCCCCTGTCACTGGTACCCATACTGAGCTACATTGTATCAAAAGGCCATTGTTATCCTTAACAAACAAAGGATACTATCCTCGTATTTTCTCTATCTTCCAATTATCTTTCTTTGCCCCTTCAACCTAGGCCTCCCTGATCATATCTAACAAAGGCAAAATCACAGTCATCCTCATACAAATGTCCCTAATCGGGGACCCCGCCGTCTTGTGTCTCAATGCATCGGCCACCACGTTGGCCTTCCCCGGGTGGTAAAGGATCTCACAATCATAATCCTTCAGCACATCCAGCCACCTCCTTTGCCGCTTGTTGAGGTTCTGCTGATCCATCAAATACTTTAGACTCTTGTGATCGGTATAAATGGTGAACCGCACTCCATATAAATAGTGCCTTCAAATCTTGAGGGCAAACACCACTGCCCCCAACTTCAGGTCGTGTGTGGGGTAACTCACCTCGTGAGGCTTTAACTGCCTCGAGGCGTAAGCAATCACATGTCCCCTCTGCATCAATACCACACCTAACCTTGAAATTGATGCATCACAGTACACCACTAAATCATCCAATCCCTCAGGTAGCACTATAATCAGAGCCTTGCATAACCTCCGTCTCAGGGTCTCAAAATCCATCTACTGATCTGCACCCCACCGAAAGGTCACATTCTTCTTGGTCAAGCAGGTCAAAGGCACAACAATCTTGGAGAAATCCTGGATAAATCTTTGGTAATAGCCCGCTAAACTTAAGAAGCTACGAACATCTAATACATTCCTCGGTACTTCCCACCGCATCACAGCCTCAACCTTGGCTGGATCAACCAATATACCCTCCTGATTGATGACATTCCCTACAAATTGTACTTCCCGCAACAAAAAATCACATTTGGAAAACTTTGCATAAAGTTTCTCTGCACTTAGGATCTCCAGTACCTCCCTCAAATGCCTGCTCATGATGCTCCCTGGTCTTAGAATAAACTAGAATATCATCGATAAAACAATCACTGACCGATCCAACATCGGTCTACACACTATTCATGAGGTCCATGAATGCTGCGGGGGCATTGGTGAGCCTAAATGGCATCACCACAAACTTATAGTGCCTGAGTCCTAAAAGCCATCTTTGGTATATCCTCATCCCAGATCCTCATCTGATGATACCCAGACCGAAGATCAATCTTGGAAAACCAAGACGCACCCTGAAGTTTATCAAACAAATCATCGATCCTCGTCAACGGATAACGGTTCCTTATCATTAGTTTGTTCAGCTCCCTATAATCGATGCACATCCTATGGGATCCGCCCTTCTTTTCCACGAAAAAGATCAGTGCACCCCACGGGGAACTGCTCGGATGAATGAACCCTCGGTCTAGCAGCTCCTGAAGCTGCATAGATAACTCTTGCATCTTCTGTGGTTCCAACCAATATGGTGCCTTTGCTATCGAGGCGGCACCCGACACCAAGTCAATGCGAAACTCCACCCGCCTCTCCAGAGGCACTCCTAGTAACTCTTCGGGGAAAACATCCCAAAAATCTTGTACAACTGGCACACTGCCCACATCCGTCACGGTCTCTATTCTTGTATCCAAGACATAAGCAAGAAATCCCATGCGACCTGCTGTAAAAACCTCCTATCCCTCGCATCCGAACAGAGGTTCGGTCCCTGCAAGGCCTTATCACCATGAATAACCAGTTCTCCCCCACATGCCTTGAACTCCCGGAATGAGGGAGCTCGGGCCCCAACTTGGCCTGCAGTAATCTCAGACCTGAATGATCTGATTCTCTCCTCCATGATCTCTATAATGGCCTCCTTAACCATCCCAAAAATGATTGGGGTAGCGTCAAGGATGCCCCTGGTAACCTCGGCTGCAAAAGCTCATGCAGCCTCTCATCAATCATATCATTTGTGTCACCTAAGCCTGCCCCGGATCCAGATCCCGACCCTGACCCCCTGCTCCAAATTGTGTCACCACCATGCTGAACTGAAAAGTCATAAATCATAACAATTAGGATTTTCCATACAAGGGATCTCCCCACACTGGTCCTCCTTGAAGTTTTCAGATCTAACATTGGTTTGGGTACAGGTCCTGTGCTTCCAGCAATACGAGCTAATACTACCTTCCACACCTACCTGTACCTTTCCCCATTGCTCTACCAGATAACTCCAGTTCTATTCTTTGTGAGGATGTTTTGGCATTGTCTCAGACCTTGTTTGTGAAGGCATTCGGGACCCCAAGATCCTGTTATTGACTGAGGACGGTACTGTCAGGGTTTCTGCTTCTACTCCTCCGGCAGCATCGACCATAAATGTGTCAGGATAGGGAATAACCCAGGAGTCTCTCCTTTCACAACATGTGACATCGTATGATTTCGGTTTCCATGCTTTTCCCCCTGCTACCATCTAAGCCTTGGAGCTTCTTTCTAATTCTCATCTCTCAAATAGTCTTCTATATGCAGCTATGTAGGTTGCTTCGTATATGACGGTGACTGCCTCTTGCTTTCGTCAGGTTAGTGCAAGTTCTAGCGAGCTAATGTCAGTTAAGACCGAGCAGGATGGGTGAGGTTACTGTAGTTGGAGGGGGAGAAGCGGTCGTTCGAGGAGTTATGATTTTTAGGCCGGGGAGAAGGTGTCCTTGGAGGACCAAGTAGCTACCTTGGATGGGTCGGTAGAACACTTTTCTCAATGAATCGAGGTCTTAGTGGAGGAGAAGAAGGTGTTGGAGGGTCAAGCGGATTGTTCTAACAAGAGGTTGGAGGAGGAGGTTGCTAGGTGGAAAGTTGCAGAGGTGAATTTGGGATGGTTGCTTCATAAAGGCATTGTTCGGGTGGTGGATAAGGTTGTTGAGAGTGTTGAGTTTGCGTTGGGGGTAAAGCGGATGAAGATGCCATGTGTGGTTGCCGGCATAGAGAACTAAAAATAGGTGAACCAGGAGCAGGTTTCCGCAGGAAAGTTTGTCTCCAGGGAACCAAACGCCACTTCGAAGCATGCTCAGGCGATGCATGATGCCATAAAATCTTTCATGGAGACGGACATTGCCTCTTACCTTTTCCTAGGCGAGCTGGACATAGGGGGCCTACGTCAGATATGCGATGATCCTGACTATGAGGAAGGCCATCTTGAAAATGGCGCTTCTCACGCCGAACCTTCCTCCACTCCTCAGTAAGTGATGGCTTTTATCCTTTGTTGCAGTTTGATATTTAAGATAATATTTGCATCTTAATAGTGTTTGTCAAATAATTTTTAAACAATGTCTAATTTTCTTCTTTGGCCGTACGTGGTCATTTTTAAATTCATGGGGGGTTGTCCGGGTTAAACAATACGTGCTTTGTGTTTTTTATGTTAAGTTTGCCTTTAGTTTGTCGCATTACTTCCCCCTACCCCCCTTTTTTTTGTCGTCTTGGATGGTTTGTGTTCGCCAACCTTGGTTTGGATTTTCCCAGAGGTTAGTGTTGGCCTTTAGGGGTCTTGGTCGTGGATGTTGTTTTTTTAACAAGCTTTGGTGGTCAGGACGTCTGTTCTGACGAGCTCAACGCTCACCCTTAGGTTAGTCTCTGTGAGTTGAGGTTTTAGTTAGCCCATAGGTACGAACTCTAGTTGGTTCGTTCCGTTAGGATCTCTTTCTTGGCTGAAAGCCTTTGTTTTCAGGATTTGCTCTAATCCTTGGGTTAAGGGGAGTTGCACTCCGGCCCTAGTCATCTAAGCAAGATCGAGGTCGTCACCTCGGGGTCTAAGAGCTTAGGCATTATGTATTTCGAGGAAAAGGTTATGATCCTTTAAGGCCTCTTACTTGTCGTGATTAGCAGCTACATCTATCCTGACCTCGTTGACATGTTTATTAGGGAGAAGTGATGAGCCTTTGAGGCTACAAATTTTCTTTTCATTGCATGTTTTTTGGTGGCTTGGACGCATCTACATTGTCAGATAAGGATCGGAAGTCCGATAGATTTTGTTGCTCTAGGTTTAACTCTTGGTATGACTAGTTAGGTCATGATTATCCATTAGGAGTTTGATCACTAAGCCCTTCCCTTGATACCCCTCGAGCCAAGGCTAATGGCTTGTGCTCTGGGCTCCCAGGTCATTGGGACAAATTCTTCTTCTTGGTCTTCCTTGGATTGTGTCCCTCTACTGCTTGAGTCTGTGAGCTTTCCAGTATTCATGCTCGTGTGCAAGCCATGATTGGCTGTTTTGGGGTTGGTCGTCTTTCGGAAGATGATTTTTAATTTCCTCCATTCTCCGGTTTTGGTCGCTAGGTCATCATCTTTGGGTGGATTTACCTCCTTCTACGTGACATTTTCGTTGCCAACTTTGTTTTCTGTGAGGTTACTTGCTTGGTGTCGTCCTGGGGGGAGCCTCTGCCAACTGCGGACTCTTATGGTTGTAGTGAGTCTCCTTTTTGCGTTCTTATTTTTGAAGTTATTGCCTATCCTCTCTCCGGTACTAGCAGCTCCTTGTTTGTGTCTCTGTTCAAGCTTTGTGGCTTCGCGTGTGTGTTCCTTCATTCGCTTCTTTTCCATGCCCTATGCCCTTTCTGTCCTAAGGTGTGTAGGTATGCTTAGTGACGTCTAACCTCGTTTGGTATCCATAAGAACGATCCTTGATGCTTCTAGAGTGGTAATATTGTTTCTATCACGCCCTTCCCCCTCCCCTTGGGCTGTTCATTAGGGGTTGGTGTCCTCTCCTCTTGTTTTGGATATTCATTTGTTTGCGCTTGATCATGTGGGTGTTAGTTGTCATCATGCACCACTTTATTGGGATGTGTGCAGTAGCCAAAGCAGCGATCGCCCGAAGTGGTTTTGCCCATTTTATTAGAGTTGTCACTGTTGTTGGTCTGTTCGTCATTTTGAACTAACTGTATCATGTATTGTTGATGGGATGACATGTAGCTGAAAGAGAATAGGTCGCCCTAGGATCATATCGTCTTCTGACTTGTGTTTAACTACTGATAACTCGATTATCCTTGTTACCCTTTCCTTTCCATCGTGGCTGAGTAGTGTCAACGGGAGGTTTATGGTTCTGAGTTGCCATAATTTGTGTCCAGTGAAGCCAACGTGTGGGGCTTGGGTTGGTGGTCTTAGGATTCTCTTCCAAGATAGTGAGAGTTGCTTGAGGCAGTACTCATAGAGAACGTCGGTGTTGCTACCTCCGTCGACCAGGACTCGCCAGATCTGATGTCGTTGTACAAGGGTGAGGATTATGATTGGATCTGTGCGGTCCCAGTTGGGTGTTTGTGGGTCTTTTGATGAGAAACTTATGTTGAGAGTATCGTCGGGTAAGCCGTCGGTGCCATTGGCTGGAAGTCGGGGCCTGGCTCTGTTCCCGGGGCTTGCGATTGCAAAGATTTCTTCCTTTTTGATTAGTTGTTTGTTCATCTCCTTTTGGGTTCTCCTGTCTTTCCATTCGGCTTCAAACTTTGATCGTAGAGTCTTCACGATTTATGTTAAGTCTCCACTCAGTCGCTTGTCTTCTACTTCTTTTTTTAGGATTGCACACTCTCCAGTGTCGTGGGTTTTGCTCTTGTAACATTCGAAATATTTCCTTTTATCTTTTTATGTCCACTAAGGGGTTTTTTCCACCGCGTTCACTTCCATCTTATGGCTCCTTGGCTCATCCTTGATGAACGGGCGGAATCCACGAGATGAGTGTCTCGAATGTCGTTGATTCTTATCATGGCTTCCATCATTATGCTCCTTATGGCTATGGCGATAGTGGGACCTGGCTGATTCTTGTTTGAGTTAGGCAGTCACTACGACTTTTAGATTAGCTTCTTTGTGTTCTTCTCCCTCCATATGCTTAAGGTGTTTTTTATTTGAACTCGTCCCTAGATTTTGGCATCGTTACTGTAACATCCGAAAAATACAACCAATTTAAAATTTTTAAAACAACCCGATTTTCATTGAAATATGTACAAAAGGTTTTCAATACAATTCATCCAAGTATTCCCAGAATCACGTTGTTACAAAATCATGAGGAACGGTACGATCGCGCCTTCGCCTTGCCACAGTCTCCTGAAGAACCTGAAAAACATTAAACCACAACTGTAAGCCCGAAAGCTTAGTGAGATACCCCCAAAATACCAACCACGTATACGCCCTTCCAGGCCGTGACCTTCCGGTCCAAAACATATAAGGCATACATAACAAAATAGATCATAGAACAATCATGCATGTCGGGTCTACCGTGACTGGTCCGCCGTATCGGGCCTTCAGTCCATCGGATCCATCCTCCGGGTCTAGTCATGTCCTTCGAGTCTACAGTGGGGTTGGTCCGCCCGCATCGGGCCTTCAACCCACCTGGTCCACTCTCTGAGTCTACAGTGTGACTGGTCCGCCCGCATCGGGCCTACAGTCGGCCTGGTCCACTCTCCGAGCCTCGGCACGTCTGGTCCGCCCACGTGGGGCCTACAGCCTATCCGGACCGCTCACTGGGCCTTCGGAACAACCGGTCCGCCCTGGGTATCTTGGCCTACAGCACAAAGCAGGACCCGCCTCAACCCATCTCTAGTCCAAACAACCATGTGCACAAAACATACATTCATATAACAGTCATAATCAACAAACCGAGTAAACAGATCACATAGCATATCATTACTCTAACCGGGCTACCGACCTACCCGTTCACTAGCATAGCATTACTCTGCATATCGAGAACTGACCTTTACAAGGCCCCCTAGCATGTATCATCCTAACTACCAGGATGCAGACACAACCAACAACAACATGATAAACGTAACTGAATCTCAATACAATAAAGGGCCGGCCTTGGTGCCTTAGACCCTGTTGATATAGTGAGGATAACTCACCTCGAAACTGACGGCTGAAAAGGTAAGATCCTGCTGCTCCGAACTCTGACACAACTCCTCCACTGAACACCAAACAATAACCCAATAAATATCCATAATTACCAAAATACCCCTGGAAGACAACTGGTCAACCCTGGACAAGTCAAAGTCAACCCCTGACTGACCCTACTCGTCGAGTCAACCGATGACTCGCCGAGTCCTTATGCTCAGACTTCCCTCAATTAGCGACCCAACTCGCCGAGTCACCCCAAGACTCGTCGAGTACAACAACTCTGAGTCCACTCGCACCCCAACTCACCGAGTCGTCCCTCGACTCACCGATTCATCGACTCAACCAGAAATATTGGGACTTCCTCGACAAGACTCGCCGAGTCCAAGGCCATCTTCAACCTACTCGCCGAGTTGTTCTTCCAACTCGTCGAGTTCAAGGCCATCTTCAAGCAACTCGTCGAGTCCACCCATGTGACTCGCCGAGTACCACCGGTCTGAATCCTTACAGAAGCATCCCAGGCCATGCAATTGATCCAAAACATAGATCCCACCTCCTACAATCCATCCATCACGTAAAGTGGCAAACTTTACGTGATTCTAACGAGATCTAAGCCATTTTCACCTTAAAACCAAGGTTTGGGACATGATAGCTTCATTCATAGCACAAAGGTTGGGACTTTAATGCACTCAATGTCTTCTCCACTCCAGATCTGAGGTAGCAACCTCAGATCCATCCTCCAACACCAAAATGTCACACCACCAAGCATCCCACACAACCCCAAATGATGAAACTAGGAATGCACAGCCTAAGGACGAAGATATTACCTCCAAAAGATGCCTCAATAACAGCTAAACACGAATCCAAGCAAAGCCCTTTGATCCCAACCACTTCTCCTTCAAGATTTCTCCAAGCAACACCTCTCCAAGCTCCAATTTGCTCCACCAATGCTCTTCTCCACGAGATTAGGGTTTCTGGAACTCAAGGGGGAATAAGAGAGGCTGTGGAGGGTATGATGTTCTTTATATAGGGCTCAACCCCGGAAACTAGGGTTTTCTCCATACAGCACCTACTCGCCGAGTCCATACTTGGACTCGCCGAGTAGGCCACTCGGCACGCGACCATGACCGCGACCTGACTCGCCGAGTCTATCCATGGACTCGCCGAGTCATCCTCTAAAACTTACACTTTTAGCCCTTCAACTCTACCCTTGCGAATCCGGGATGTTACAATTCTCCCCCACTTAAATTAGGCTTCGTCCTCGAAGCCTTCGGCATCTCATCTTCAATTTACTTCCCACTATGCGCCACTTGACCTTGACCGAACCAAGTCCCTCAAAGTACAACCATAGAACCAGAAGCTCACTTTCTCCTTC